GTTTGCACAAATGTCAAGAGACCAGGGACATCTTCCAGGTGGCTGATCTTGGCATGTGGTTTTCAACAGAGACAGAGAAGCCTGAGGAGCAGGTAAGCCCTAGTCTGTAAGGTCAGGTGCATTTGGACACATGGATACAGATATAGAGCTCATGCACAAATCCAGAGACTGGGAAGGAGACCTAAGCCAGTGATACTAATACTCTCAGAAAGCAGGGGCCGGGGTTGCAGTTTGGTGGAAGAGGATACTTAGCATGCATGAGGCCCTGGGCTCAATCCCCAGCACCAAAATACAAGCTCCCAGCAACTGGAGAGGCTGAGTCAGGAGGACCACCAGTTTGAAGCCAGCCTCAGCAATTCAGTGAGACGTGCAGCAATTTAGCAAGACCCTGCTTCAGTAATAAAATGCCCCTGATTCAATCCCCAGTACAAAAGTCAAAACTAAACAACAACAACAACTCGACAAAACACACCAAACAAGCAGAAGGCTTACACAATCACAAAGCCCCAAGCCAATCTCTTGGACCAGAGTGATTTCAAGGAGGGATTCACATAAGCATCATTTTTTCCCATTCAGACATACAATCATCTCTTCTTTTTTTTTCATAACCCGGAACACCTCTATTTCTCTATTCACCCACCAATTTTCACCAGCAGGGACAATATCATTGTGTGGTTTAAAGAGCACAAGGTTCAAATAAAAAGCCTAAACTTAATTATGTGTATGTGGGTTTATTTTTTCTGTTTTCTTCTTTTGCAGTGCTAGGGATGGAGCCCCTTGCCTCCAATGCCTGAGGCAAGGGATCCAGCACTGAGCCACAGCCCAGTATAAATTGAAGATGTCACTGCTGCTGTCAACATCACCCCCCTTCCCAGACTGTGAGGAAGAAATGAGTGGTACCCAGAACATGTAAATGCCCTCCGCCTGGGAGTTATTCTTAAAGACAATCTGGAGGGCATTTGAATAAGGACAAAAGGTTTGTGAAGTGGCAGACTTCACAACTGATCCTGAGCTGGTAATAATGGGACAGGGTGAAAAGTGGTGCATCCTGAGAGTTGTCAGAAACAGGACTGGCAAGTTTAAGGGCAAGTGGTGTGCTGTCTGGGATGTTTTTAAGTCATCCCTGGAGAGAAGGGAGTGAAAGTCCAAGGCAAATAGTAGTTGCCAAGTGTCCATAATTAGGGAACCCGGGGATGGACACATGAAGTACTTGTACTACCATATCTCTGTGTTTGAAATTTTCCATAATATAAAAGATAGAAAGAAAAAGAAAGCTGGAGAGAGTTACTTTCAGGCTGAGAAATAGAAGAGATCGGGTACAGACAGAGAATTCAAAGAAGGGACTTCAGTCCCACCTCCACCAGACTATGGGGTTAGACCAGCTCTTAAGTGGCAAGGTCAACAACTTTTAAAGCAAATTTCCAAACTATCTAAGGACAATTTCCATACTCCACAATGTCTTTTAACATTATAGCCTTTTAACTTGCCCACTCGATAAAAACTCAGGGGCAACTGAGACTGATAACAAGGTGAGCAAAACAGTCATGCTACCTGCCAGCTCAGAGAAGCCACTATCAGATAATCCATACAAATGAGAAACTACAGATGAGGCCCGTGCTAAGGGGAAAACATTGTGGGACCAGCGGGCATTTCACTTTCCTTTACCTCCCTGTAGCGGACACCTAGGTGAGGGAGGCAGGAAGTAGCAAGATGCAACATCCCCGGTTAGGCAGAGGTGTTATGAATAAACTGAAAGGTTTTGGAGATGCTAGACTATGAAATCTAGGAAGACCCGAATCAGGAAGCCCTGCCCCACCCCTTCACTACAGCGCAGTCAACAGCCGCACTCTGCCCTGGCACTCTGCCCCAGAACGCCGCTGCCCCACCCTCCCCTCTGCAGTGAGGGGACCCCCCCTCCTTTCTGACGCCGCCCCTGCTCACCCCAACCTCACTTCTATCATCACACACCACCGTCCCCGCAGCAGCAGCCGCCCTCCCTGCAGCAGCGCAGTCCCATCACTCATCCCCTTCACTGCGACCCCCTTAGCCAGTCCTGCCCGCCACAACCTCTCCCAGAAGCCACACCCTCCCCGCTGTAGCTCAATTTCGTCTACCCACCCCAGCTTTCCCCTTTAGTCCCACCCCTGGAGGTCAGAGCCACACCCTCTTAGCGAAGCCCCTGCCTTGCCCAATGCAGCTCAGTATCGTCACCTGGGCCCTTAACTGCTCGCCCCGCCTACTTGGTCCTTAGCCCCGCCCCTAATCAGCACAGCCCCACCTTCTCCTCTGCGACCCTACCTGCCCTCGACACCGTCCCCGCTCGCCCCGGTCCGCCCTAGCCCCGCCCCTTACGCCATGGCCCCGCCCTCTCCACTGCAGAGCTGCCCTGTAGCCCGGCCCCACCCATGACATCAAGACCCCGCCCACCAGTTCACCGCAGTACAGACCCAACTTTACACCCACCCCGCCCTCCAATGACGTCACGCTCCGCCCCCCCCGCCCCCAGTTCCCACAGGTTGCCCCGCTCCTCACCAGCTCGAACTGGTTGTCGACTTGGACACCCTCCTTCCCTGAGCCCCCGGGGCGCAGGCCCCCAGACCCCGTTTTGGTCCTTCTGCGTCATCATCATCACGGAGGACAAACTGCAGGGTGGGCACCGGCCTGAGGGGCTCCTGGCCGCGCTGTTCCCCCCTCAGCCTCTGGAGGGCGGGGGCGACATAGGACCCAACGACCTGACGTCTAGAGAGAAAGAGAAGGAAGAGCAGAAATGAGAGCGGCTGGCGAGCCTGCGCACTGAGGGCGCGCTGGCGCTGCGGCTCTCTGCAACTTCTTCCCTGTCACCATTAGCACCAAAGAAGGTGCAGGCACTTCTGGGCGAGTTTTCGCGAGAGTTGGGCGCCCCCGCGCGGCCGACCCTGGCTGGCTGCAGTACAGTGCTTTGGGTTTTCCAGTGTGCTGAGTGCAGATGACCTGTTGACATGGGGCCTGGGGCGCATAGGCTCAGAGCAACCGGCAGCCTTGGCCTAGACCCAGACCCAGAGGGCTGGAGGCCCTGGTAGGCGGGTCGGGGAGGAAGAGGTGCACGCAGGTGGGCGACTGTGGCACGTGGGTGGTCAAGGGGACGGTCTGCTGGCGACCGCGTGTCTCATGTGGTCTACCTGTGTGTAGGGGGCTCCGCGCCCCCTCTCAGCCAGCCTCTGCGCTGCAAAGAGATAGTTCTCTACTGAATAGGAGTGAGCACATCTAAACCGAGAAGCTTCCCAGAGTTCGATTCCCAGACACCCTTCCACTCCCACAAAGCGCGAAGGGAGATCTTGAGTTACTCTGTGTGGAGGGACAAGCGAAGTGTTGGGCAATGACTGAAGACTTCTAGAGACCAGTCTGAAGGAGTCTGGAATAGGAGTTTTAGAAGCTGTCAGTTATGTTCCTTCAAATCTTTTTTTTTTTTTTTTGGTGCTGGAGATTGAACTCTGGGCACTCGACCACTGAGCCACATCCCTAGCCCTATTTTGTATTTTATTTAGGGACAGGGTCTCATTGAGTTGCTTAGTGCCTCAACATTGCTAAGGCTGGCTTTGAAGACCGAAGTACTGGTTGCTCTCCTTGACTTTGCCTTGGAACTCCCTGCGTTGAGTATTCTCAGGAAGAGCTTTGTGTGGGTGCTGTAGGCAGCTCCCCTGAGCTCAGCCCAAGATACGTTTCCACTATTTGTACAAGGGATTTCATTGCTTGTATGGATCAGAACCTGGGTCTACCCATGGTTGGCAATGTGAACAGATGTGTTGCCCGGTGCAATTTCTGCATCTGTAGAATCAGGAAGTAATGGCAATAGTATTTAGCTCCCAGGAACATCTACCCTTGAGAGTGCTGCACAAACATGAGCTTTGTAATTTTTATTAATTTTTAAACATAATCTTTTTATTACCAGCTCTGACAGGAAAATTCCTAACCCTGTGTGCCTGTTTTCTTAATTTTAAACAGGAATAAAAATATGGGGACAAGGAGCTGGGGTAGTGGCTCAGCGGTTCTCAGCACCACATGAAACAATAAAATAAAGGTATTGTGTCCAACTACAACTAAAAAATAAATTTTAAAAAAATGTGAGTATATGCAGTCTGTGAGGGAGCTCAAAGTAGTGGGAGTTGGTGATTTTTATTGGCTGCTCTAATTTTATGTGTTTGAATTTCATGAACCCAAATGATAGGAATATTCTTTCCCACAAGCCCATCTATTACCAGTCATATTCCTGCTGGGTCTCCTCCAACCCTGGGCAGATGTTACAACTTGGAGTCAACAGGATTTGGCTAAGGTCTTAGCATATTCCTGAGTGAGCATCCAGATACTTCACTTTCCTCATCTGAAAGGTGCAGTGAGGACCATACCACCTCAGGATGTGTGTGAGGAGGAAGGTGCTCAGCACAGAGCCTGCCTGGATCCACGAGCTCCCATGAGCCCTAGGCACATCATCTCCTTGGAGAATGAGGGCAAGAGGCTGAGAAATGAGACCAAAGGGTCCTCTGGACCAGCAGGTGCAGCCAGTGACCTCAGCAGCTCTTCTGTGTGCAACCCTAAGATGACCAGGTTTTATGGACAGAAGTGGGCCCTGGAACCTCATTTTTTGATAGGTACCCTTATAGTGGAGCCAGGGAGGACTTTCTCTGTCCTGAAAGACAGGTAGTCCTTCAGAGCCAAGCTCCCACCTTGAGAAAATATACTAACTGCCATAACTCAGTCTTTGTACATATCCCAGGCTGTGAGGCCAAGAATGGCCATGTGCACCTGTTTACAGAGCTGCTTCTCCCTGTACGAGGACCACCCAGTGTCACTGGGCCCTTGGGGCCACCGAGGAGTGAGTAATCAGGATGGAACCAGGTGTGGTAGGGCCTGGAGGGAAGAATGACTGGGGCAGAGTCAGAGAACAGGCTTGGCCTCTGGCCTCCCAGATGGAGACCCAGGGTGCCTGAGTGCCTCCCAGGATAATCCCACCCCTCAGAGCCTTCCCAGCTGTCTCTGCTGCCCACACCTCTTGTCACTTTTGGATCTGAATGTCCCCCAAAGTCTCGAAGCTTGGTCCCTAGGTGGTGGCACTATTGAGAAGAGGTGGAGACTTTAGGAGGTGGGGCCTGTTCAGAAGAAGTGGCTCACTGGGGGCATGTCCTTGAGGGTACTGGGACCTTAGCTCCTTCTTTCCCTCTCTGCTTCTTAGCCACCATGAGGTGAGAAGCTCTGCTCTGCTGTGTGCTCACCAATATGATGTGCTGCCTCACCACAGATCCAAAGTGTCGGGGCCAAGCCATCTTGGATAAAGAGGTATTAGCAGCAGAGACAGCTGTGGACCAAAGTAAATACTTCCTGCTCTAAGTTGTTTGTCTCAGGCAGTCTATCACAGTGGTGGAAAGCTGACTAGCACACAGAGTTGGTGTGGGACAGTGGGGTCAGAGCCTCTAGAGCTGGTTTCCAGGAGGAACTTAAAAATTAAGAGAAGCATTCTAGGAAAAGCTTAGAATGCCATAATCTGAGAATAATGGGCAATTCTGGTTGGAGCACATTAGCTCAAATGCTGATAGGAATATAGACATTAAAGACTGTGTTGATGTAACCATATACTTCTGAGAAGTTTTTTTTTTAAACAAACAAAATATTCCCTTCAATTCCCATGGAAAGATGTTTTTCTTCAAGTTACTTTCTCCTCCTCTGTCAACCTCGTCCCTACATTACCCCATCTCTTTCTCATGGTATTGTAAATTCTAAAGAAAGCCCTCTGCTAAGTCTTTCCTCACCTCAGCTCAAAAGGTAATTGTCAATCCAAAAAGCAAATGCAGACACTGACCCCAGGAGGTAAAGTTTCCCTTTAATTTGATAAGGAGGCAACAGAGGTGAGAATGCTCTCAGAAAAGGGATTTTCTGCCTTTTGAACCACTGTGCCCTTATTCTCCCCTCTAAAAACTGCTCTCATAAGCCCCCAGAGATGAAGATTTGAGACAAAGCCGGCTTCGAGGCTGTCTCCTTTCAGCAGTCTGTCTCCTGAGCTTTTGTGGAGCGTGACAAGGAGTGGAACCTTCCTTCTCAGTTATACTGATGAGGTTTCAGGTGAACAAGGACTGTTGGGAATTGGACCAGAGGCCACACGGATGACACTCTGGCAAAGAACTTGTCTACATTTTGTCCATGCCCTGAAACTGTGTGAGGCCGCATTTAAAGGTGATGGACTAGTGTTATTTTTTTTATTTTTATTTTTTTTGGTGGGGGAAATTTCAAGGCAGCACAGCATTCAAGCTACAGCATGGGCATTGTTGGCTGATTTTAGCCAGGGTTGTCATGAGAATTGTGTGCAAAAAAACATAGCAGAAAGATTTGAAAAACTTGCAGTTTTTCCAGAAAAGAAGCATGTGTAATTTGGGCCACCGAAGTTGTAATTGCTGAAGACTTAAGTTAAAACAAAGCCAAACCAGTCACGGTGGCGTAGACATGTGATCCAATTGACTTGGATGGCTGAGGCAGGAGGATTGCAAGTTGGGGGAGAGTCTGGGCAACTTAGCAAGACCCTGTTTCAAGATAGAATAAGCTAGGAACGGTGATACACGCCTGTAATTCCCATGACTCAGGAGACTTAGTGAGGCCCTCAACAATTTTGTTAAGATCCTGTCTCAAAATTTAAAAAAATAAATAAGTGAAAAGGTTTGATGATATGGCTCAGTGGTAAAGCACACATGTGTTCAATCCCCAGTACCCCTACCCTGAAAAAAATCCCCAAAAAAGATAAAATTAAAAAAGAGGCTGGAGATGTAGCTTAGTGGTAGAGCACTCCTGGGTTAAATCCCATGTATCACAAAAATTCATTCATTAACATAAATAAATTCCAGGCTGGGCACAGTGGTGCACACCTATAATCCCAACAACCTGAGAGGCTGAGCCAGGAATATTATAGGTTCAAAGCCAGCCTGGGCAAATTAGCAATATCCTGTCTCAAAACACAAAACAAACAAAAAAAGGACTAGCGATGTAGCTCAGTGGTAGAGCACCTCTGGGTTCAATTCCAAGTACTAGGGGAAAAAAAGTTAAAGAAGCACAATTGTAATCCCAGCTACCTGGGAGGAGGCTGAGGCAGAAAGTTTGCAAGTTCAAGACCAGCTCAGCAACTCAGTGAGACCCTGTCTCAAAATTTAAAAATAAGAAATAGCTGGGCTTGTATTTCAGTGGTAGCATGTAGGAGGGTCCTAAATTAATTCCCAGCACCAAAACAAACAAATAAGGACTTTGAATTTGCATCTGAACAACAGGAAAGATATTTGAGAGCACCTCAGGAATCGGCCAGACCCCACCTATCTCAGGCTCAAGGGTGTAAAAGAATAAACTCATAGGAGAGCGTGCAGGGCTTACATAGGGCCACATGGTCCAGGTGGGCCCTGCTACTGTTTCAGCTGGTGGCAGATCTTGGCATCATCTTTGTGATGCTGGTTTTACAGGAATGCAGAATACAAGAGTTTTGGGGTCAGGGCTCCCTGGCCACCAGGAGATAAGCAGCTCTGCTCTGCCACATGCTGCGCACTATGCTGCTGCTTCACCACACGCCCAGAGTGATGGGGCCGGACAGTGTGTAGCAGGGTTGGGACCTGAGCATGAAGCCCCAGAAGGGTAGTGTGCGAGAGAAGTTAATAGATGCCAGGAGCATGACTCATCTACCAATGAAAACTGCAGGCAGCAAGCAGAGCCAGCCCAAGAGAGTGGCCCTCTGGACTACTGATGGCAAAGCCCAAACCCTTTATGGCCCTACCCACCCCCACAACATGCCCCAGGTGCCAGACGTGGAGCTACAGTACTCAGTGTTTGCCTTGCTGGGTTTTGGTCTTTCTTTGGTCTGATCCTTCTGTGGTTTTCTCCTACTCCTCCTCTTCAGAATGGAATGTTCATCCTGTACCATTGGTATACTGGACATATGTAACCAGGTCTGTTGTTTTTTTCAATAGGTGCTCACAGTAAAGGTTGGCCCGAGTCTCAGAAGAATTTTGGATGTGTACCTGTGTTGCTAGGATTGAACCCATGGGATCCTAAGCACTAGGCAAGTGTTCTGTCACTAAGCTATTTTATTTTGAGACATGGCCTTGCTTAGTTGCCTAGGTTGGCCTTGAATTTGCAATCGTCCAGTCTTATCCTCCCAAATAGCAGGGATTATAGGCATGTGTGCCATACCTGCAGCATCTTGGACTTGTGAGGAATGCTCAGACTGTCGAGACCAGGGGATTCTTGGAGACCAATTGAATGCATTTTGCATGGTGGGACGGGCACCTGCCTCTGGAGACCTGGGGTGGAGGTGGGTGGGGAGTCTGGATCTCAGGCGCCCCCCAGAGGCAAGGTGTTGAAGCTTTGGTTCCAGGCCGATGCTGCTATTTATAGATGGTAGGAACTTCAGGAAGTGGGGCTTCACTGGGGGACCTGTTGGGACTCGTCTCTTCTCACTCTGCTCCCTGGCCACCACGAGGTAAGCAGCTCTGCTCGGCCACATGCTTCGCACCATGCTGCTGCTTCACCAAAGGCCCAGAGTGATGGGGCCGAGCCACCATTGATTGAAACCAGGACCCAGAATAAATTGTTCCTGCTTTTAAGTTGTTTGTCTCAGATATTTGTCACAGTTGTGGAAAGCTGGCTAACACACCCCCTGAGGAGAGCAGAGACAGGCAGGGTGCTCTGCTCCACCTGGGAACCCAGGTGCCATATCCCAGCCTGGACATCTTCCCGGGGAGGGAAAATTGCCAGTTCTCACTCTTGAGGTGGAGACAAGAACTGGAACAGAGGCCTGGAGCCCTACCACCTAGAGCCTTCTGCCCTCCCTTCTCAGTGAGAAAATCTATCCCTTCCCCTCCCTGCTCCTCCAAGGAGTCCTGAAAGAAAACACCAGGCCAGGGTCTTGGAGGGGTTTATTATATAAAGGCATCTGGTATGTATATGTCCATGCACAACTCAGGAGCACGGTGGGCAGCCGGGCCCAGCACTGGGAGCAGAGCCTCAGCCTGGAGCAGGCTGGAGCCAGGTCCCTTCCTGAAGGCCTGGCCACCTTAGGCCATCACTGGAAGTCAAGAGTCCTGTTGCTGGGGACGTAGAGGTACTGAGTCTGGCAGCTGCGGCGCGGCATGGCATTGAGAATATCCACAATTTTGCAGCTGGAGCGCATGACGTGGGCCATGAAGCTGGTGCAGTCACTGCAGACATCCTTCAGGGTGCAGCCGTGGGCGTAGATGTGGGGGAACTCCTCCTCCACACTTCGCCACTGAGGCCCCTGCAGGGATCTGGGGCGGGTGGGGACCCAGAGAGGACTGTCAGGCTGGGGAGCCAGCAGGGCTCACACATCCTGGGGGCCCTGCAGTCCCCTAGGCTCTCCTGCTGCCTGCCCCTCCCCTTCACCACCACAAACCCACAGAGTCCTGGGGAAGCAACATGCCTAGCAAAAAGCATCCCAGAAGGGCTCTGGACAGGAACTGGAGTTCTGGGTCCTGACCACCCCAGCTCAGTTTCCATCTCACCACTATGCCTCCCCACCCCTCCAAAGCCATCTGAACTACACCTCCAGGGGGCGTCCTCACACAGGTGAGGCCAACCCCTGCTCCTGCTCCCAAGTCCCTGCAGAAGCCTGACCACCATAGACACCAGCACCCAGGCCAGGGAACACACTGGAAGACGTCTTGCCTTGGCGCCCTCGCGGTTTTGGCAGTGGGTGCCCTCTGAGGACTCTCAAAACCCAGTGTGTAGACAGGGATGTGTGCACACTTGTTAGAAGGCATCTTCATCTGCAACAGAGGGAGGCATGGCAGGCCCCACAGTCACTTTGGCTCGATACCCAACAGGACCTCCTTCCTGTCACACCCCAACAGTGTCTTCTGCTCAATGACACTGGTATAAAGGGGTACCTTTATACCAGGAAGGGTGCAATGTGAGCCCTAGACACAATCGGTGTTCAACACCGGGGAGGAGGAAGTTGGCACTGTTGAGGGTGGATCATGAGGAGGGTGTGAAAACAGGTGGGCACAGGCCCTCCTCAGCGGGCTTGTTTCCAAGCTGAGGCCAACAGACATGATTCTGAGCGACACTGTCTGTTCACCTGGGTGCATGCTGCATGTCACTGGGCCACAGATGCAACAACAGATCTGGGGGAAGGCACTCCCAGGAAGGAGGCTTCAAGAGGGGCGACCTCCTCACATGGAATGCTCACTGCTTCCTAAAAAGCCTAGCAGGCCTGGAAAGTGTAGGGTAGGGTCTGCCTGGAGGAAGTGATGGCAAGGCGCCTGGGGCCTGGAGCGCTGGTCCATGCCCATCCCAGCTGGGAGAGACCCTGCAGATCCTAGGAGATCCTCACCTTCATGCTACAGGAAGTGCAGATGGCTCTGGAAGAGAACAGAAGAGGCAGTGAAGAGGCCCAGGAAGGCACAACTGCCTCCAGGCCCCTGGGTCCCACCCCAGACCCTGCAACTACCCGTGCAGTCTGCCTGATGCCAGGTGGCTCTGGGCTTTCCCGGTTCACTCCTGGCTCTTTTTCTCCTCCTCCTGGTCTCGCACTCAGTGCCCCTCAGCCCCTCAGTTTGCTCCTGGTGCATCTGGCTATAGTCTTCATGCATCCATACTGGGGTGTGCCAGACCCGCCTCACTGAGAAGCACCATCTAAGCACAGGCCTCTTGCTGAGATGCTCAGTTCCCAGCATCATTGAACATGCCTGTAGTCCAATGCCCAATGTTATATGGAAAGGTTTTCTTATAGAAGATTCAAACTTCAGTGTTACAATTTACCCACCCACAGAGGTGATCTCTGTTAGCAATACAGCCTTCATCCTCCAAACTCTTCTAGACAAATAACAAAATTATTTACAAATGGAAGTGAGGTACTGTGTAAGCTATTCTATAAAGATACACCAACATCTCTTCTCCATAGTGAGAGAAATCATCCAGACTCATTTTTTAGAACAATGGGCTATGTCCTCTGGAATGAATGTCCTACATTGATTTTTCCATCAACAAACCCCTGGGTTGGGGCTGCAGACTTGGCTCAGTATTGGAGCATTTGCCTAGCATGTGCAAGCCCTTGGGTTCCATCCCTAGCACCATATTAAAAAATAATAACAGGGGCTGGGATTGTAGCTCAGTGGTAGAGCACATGCCTAGCATGTGTGAGGCACTGGGTTTGATATATATAAATAAATAAAGGTCCATCAACAACTAAAAAAATATTTTAAAAAATAATAACAACAGCCAGACACAGTGATGTACACCTATAATTCCAGCAACTCGGGAGGCTGAGGTAGGAGCATCACAAGTTTGAGGCCAGCCTCATCAGCTTAGTGAGTCTCTAAGCAACTTAGCAAGACTCTGTCTCAAAATAAAAAATAAAAAGGGCTGGGGATGCGGGTTAGAGGTAAAGGGCCCCTGGGTGCAATTCCTAGTACCAAAAACTCAACAATACATTATCATTAATTTAAAAAAAATTTAGTTTTTGATAGATCTTCATTTTATTTCTTTTTTATATGTGGTACTGAGAATCGAACCCAGCGCCTCACACATGCCAGGCAAGTACGCTACCGCTGAGCCACAGCCCCAGCCCAGTTTTCATTAATTTTGTTTTATTTCTTTATTTTTTGTTTGCCTGGCAATCTCTGATTGAATACCAAGTCGTTTTTTTTTTCTTGCGTATGTTTTTATTTATTTATTTATTTTATGGTCCTGGTACTTGCAATCCTCCTGCCTCAGCCTCAGTTGCTGGGATCAGAGGTGTGCACCACCACACTCGGCTATTCCCATTCTTCAGCTGTGTTCTGGGAAACAATGAAGATACTTGGAAGCAGTTTGGTCCTTTCAGGTCTTTCCATAATGACCTGTCAGGCCTGGAGAAGTGCCGACACCAGTGACTTACTCTACACCTGTGTGGCAAGACCCGCCTGCCTTTCCGCCCCATGCTCCAAAATCATGGCACTCCAGCGGTGCTAGTGGACACCGACATGACACTTGGCCCTGAGTACCTATCACTTTCCTTTAAGTCTGCATGTGCCCCTGCCACGTGGTACTGGGAATTGAGCCTAGCAGGGCTCTACAACGGAGAGACATCTCCAGCCCTTTTCATTCACTAGGATCACAGTATGTGCCACCCTGCCGGGTTGTTCCACTGAATCTTTAGGACACAGGTAAGCAGACACTTCTGTAAAGGGCAGGACAGTGAACATCTCATATGTGGCTAAATGAGAAATGCGTAAGTGTGTGGCTGTGGGTGTGCTCCGACTAGCTTTATTTACAGAGCCAGTGGTGAGCAGATGGGCCCAGGGGATGCCTGCCAGGGCCTGCCTTAGGATGGATTTGTACCTAGCTTCAGCCATCTCCTCGCACCTCTCCTCCAGCGGCTCAAGGAGACCTCTCTGGGGGCTTTCTATGCGGCTGTGCCCTGAGAACTCCGCTGCCAATCCTCCCTCCACACTCAGCCTTGCCTCCTGCCCTGAGGAGATCCTGGCTCAGACCCCAGACCTAGATGCTTCCTGTGTGTTGCCAGTACCCTGAAAACCACCATTTCCCATTCCGCCATCTTGTTCCAGCTGGAAGGTGCCTGTGACCCCATCTGGGTTGAAGGTCAGAGCCTCTTGGCTATTTATGTTTAATTTAAATAGAACTCAAAATTCCATTCCTCAGCCTACTTTTCCCCAAGACTACAATCTTCTGGTCTTTAGTCACAGGGAGGAGCACGGAGGGAGGAGAGAGACCCTCACATGTGTCCTCCCAGCCTTGAGAAGCCAAGGAGATGCTGCTTCAGCACATACGTGCAGATCTACAGGAAGGCTGGCATTGCTACTGAGAAGAAAGGCCCACAGAGTTCCTAGGCCACCAGGAGGGTCCAGGGCTAACCCACCTGCCCTCAGAGCCACCACGAACAAGCAAATCAAGGGCAGACTCCTGCCCAGAGGGCCCCTGTGTGTCTGGCTAAGAGCCCGGTTAGCTTCCCACAACACATGAAGGAAATCGATGCTCAATAGACAAGTCCCTATTTCCACTGAAGCTCCTGCCTGCTCTGCCCAGGAAGCCCACTGTGGGAACCCATGGGGGGAGGCTGAGTCCCACAAATCCACCCCTAATAGATGCAAAGGAAAAATACCTCCTCAGTGGCACGACCAAGCTCAAGGACTCAACAGCCACAGCAGGTGACAGAACATCTCACCATCACGTGGGTTGCCCACCGCAGGCCCACTCCTCTTCCTCCTTGTTAATTGGTAGCCAGGCGCACTGAAGGCTCACCTCTTGCAGAAGAGACAGGTGGGCGGCCAGGAGAAGAGTGGGAACTTGGCTTGGCAGCAACAGCAGATCTGTGAAGGAAGGCATGCTGGGGCTCAGTTGTGTTCACCGCCCACCAAGGTGCTGCCCACACTGGCATGCCCCTGACCTGCCATCAGGAGAGATCCACCTTTAGCTGTCCCCAGGCCCTATCTTCCCCCTCTTCAGGCTGCTGAAGAGCTCCTAGTCCTGGGCGAACTTTTCCATCTCGGCCTTCACCAGCACGCAACGCACACCCACCACCTCCTCCACAGTCAGGGCCAGGCTCTCCACGGGGTGGTGGAAATCCTGAACAGAGGGTCCTGCTCACGCAGCCCAAGAGCAGGGCCCCACCAGCTGCATCCCTTCCCTGGGGCCAAGCACTCTGTGGCTTTCTGAAGTCAGACAGCTCCCACCTTCTCTGAGGAGGCTTTGCTGCAGCAAGACTCCCCTGCTGGCTCTCCAGCTCCCGGTCCCCACCCTTGGCTGCCTGTGCTCCCCAGCTCCCCAGCTGCCTGAAAACACACACCCTGGGCTGATCCACACCACCAGAGGACAGGCTGTGGTGCACGCCTATCATCCCAGAGACTCGGGAGGCTGAGGCAGGAGGACTGCAAGTTCAAAGCCAGCCTCATGCAGAGAGAGGCGCTAAGCAACTCAGCCCTATCTCTAAATAAAATACAAAATAGGGCTGAGAATGTGACTCAGTGGTCCAGTGCCCCTGAATTCAACCCCAGGTACCCCCTCCCCCCAAAAGATTGCCAGAGTCCATTTCAAATCTTCCTCCCCTTGGAAGTCTCCAAACTGAGCTCTTTCCTCTCCACTGACTACGCAGTAGGTGCCCTGTCCATCCAGCATGGCACGGAGTCAGCCTGGTGCCACCTCCCAGTGCTCAGCATGGAACTCGTTGTGGACCTCACTGAGCTTGGTGCTGGGCACACAGAGCTCAAAAGGCCAGCTGTGTTCCCAGGGCCCAGCCTGTGAGTGCCAGAGACAGAGATGGGAGGGCGTCCTGTCTGGGTCTTTAGCAGGCCGTCCATATGGGGCTTCGTGGCAGGGGAGGGAATCTGGACCCTGCTTTCCTCTCCACTTGGCCTAGAGCCTCTGGCCTTGGGTCCAGGCTCTGTGCCCATTGCCATGGCCAGGAGTTCTGCTGTCAGGTCAACCATGGCCTGCAGGCAGGGGGGCACGGGTGTGCCAGAGCAAGCCTGGCAGCCACCAGCTCTGATTTTGATAGTCAAACTTTTCAGAAGCACTTCCAGAATGTTAAAGCTGAATTTTAAAACATGTCTCTGATTCCTGGACCCAGAAGTGGTTCTCAATTCTTCTCCCCTTGGGAACAGGCTGGATTTGGTGACTCACATGCAGTGAATAGTGGAAGCATGGCTGAGACCTGATTGTCAAATACACTGCAGCTTTCACCTAGCCCTCTCCTGGTCCACTTGCTTGGGGGACACAGCCACCATGTGGTGAGGATGTTCAGTGGTCCCCGAGGCTTTGAGTGGCATATGCCTAGCGTGAGAGAAGCTGTCTGGGCAGCAGCTCCTGCAGCCCCCAGACAGCCTTCAAATGACACTGCAGCCCCTGCTGATAACCCAACTGCAAGCTTGGAAGACACAGCCAGGGCCCTGCTGAGCTGCTTCAGGATCTGACATTCAGAAGCTTTAAGGAATAACAAATATTGATTTTTTTCTTTTTTTTGGAGGGGGGGGCGTACTAGGGATTGAACCCAGGAATGCTCTACCACTGAACTACATCCTAGCCCTTTTTTTAATTTTAATTTTTACTTTTGGTGGGGATACCAGGGATTGAATTCAGGGGCACGGGACCACTGAGCCACATCCCCAGCCCTATTTTGTATTTTATTTAGAGACAGGGTCTCACTGAGTTGCTTAGTGCCTCACCATTGCTGAGGATGGCTTTGAGCTCAAGATCCTCCTGTCTCAGCCTCCCTAGTTGCTGGGATTACAGGTATGCACTACTGTGCCTTTTTAAAATTATATATATATATGGAATTGAAACCAGATATGCTTAACCACTGAGTCACATCCCCAGCTCTTTTTATGTTTTACTTTGAGACAAGGTCTTGCTAAGATGCTTATGGCCTCACTAAATTATCTGAGGCTGGCCTTGAAATTGTGACCCTCTTGTCTCAGCCTTCTGAGTTGATTGGATTACAGGTATGTGCACTTCATCTAGGCTGCCCTTGAACTGTGGTCCTCCTGCCTCACCTGGGATTACAGGTGTAGCCCTCACACTTGACAATAAATGTTAATTTTTATACATTTATTTTGTTTATTTGTTTTTATGTGGTGCTGAGGATTGAACCCAGGGCCTCACATGTTCTAGACAAGCTCTCTACTGCTGAGCCACAACCCAGCCCATAATTTTTTTTAAATATGCATTTTTTAGTTTTAGGTAGACAATCTTTATTTCATTTTTCTGTGTTATTGAGGATCAAACCCAGTGCCTTATGTGTGCTAGACAAGTACTCCACCACTGAGCCACAACCCCAGCCCCTAAATGTTAATTTTTTAAAAGCCAAATGGGGATAACTGTTTGGGGAGTAGGGTACTAGAGATCGAACCCAGGGCCTTGCACATGCTAAGTCACGCCTACCTGTTTATTGATTTATTTGTTTGTTTATTTTAAAAAATTTTTGGTACCAGGAATTGAACCCAACGCTCTTAGCCTCCCTAGTTGAGGGAATCACATCCCCAGCCCTTTTTACTTTTTATTTTGAGACAGGGTCTCACTAAGTTTCTAAGACTGGCTTTGACTTGCAATCCTCCTGCCTCAGCCTCCCATGGCTGGGGTTACCGGCCTGTGCAGCTTGAGAAGGAATGTTAATGCAGGAACAGTAACTAACCCTGAAGGGACAAGGGTCACCGTCCAGTTAAAATCAACAGCACTGCCTTCCTTTCACACAGAACACTTTTCAAAGCATTTCACACCTATTCTCAGAGGGGTGTCTTGCTGCCGACCACACCCAGCACCCCTCCACCTGCCTGAGTGCCTCTGAAGCTCCGTTCATTCCTGTCACCTCGCTTGATAGAATCATATGTTGACAGGTTTGGGGCGGGGGCCTCAGAACAGGGGTAGGCAGAATCTCTGCACCACCCTGCATCAGACTTGGTCTCTGCTGATAGACCCAGAACCAGGGAAATCTTGGCCAGGTTAGAGTCTCATCTCTCAGCATGTAGGTTACGCAGAAGGCCAAGGATGCAGCCTTCAGGGCTCACAGCTGCCTCAACTCACACACTCCTTGGCGTCACAGTGCCAATGTGTCCCAGCAGGGGGCAGCAAAAACCAATGTCCCAGAGAGCACCAGCTGCACAACCCGAGGCTTCGGGGAGAAGGCCAGACCCAGCCAGACCCCAGGAATGGAGCCTGGGTCTCCCTAGCACCAGCTGGTGTTCAGACATCATAAAGATCCACTCAAGAGGTCCCCACAGGACCATCACTCACCAACCACAGGTGCCTGACGTCTGGTGCAGAAGCCTCAAGTCTGTCTGCTGAGCTCAGGCTGCTGAGCTGCAGGGAGCTGGGATCCAGTTGGGATTGGACACTCACAGGAAAGGAACCTGAAAGAACACAGGCCTGTGAGAGTCACCTGGCGGAGTGCTGGTTGGAGGGCTGTGGGTGAAGGGGGTGGTGTGTGCCTCTGTGGGCTAGGATGATCAAGTTGAGTCAAGTAGAAAGCATGTCCCCCATGTGGGACCTGTACCAGGGTCCATGCTCTCCAGAGGCCACATGGGACCCTGAAGGGTCCTTCTACTGAGCCCCATGACAAGCCAGCATTAAGCACCCGCGGTGCAGCAGGCAGTCTGAGCACTGGCAGGCACACACCAGGAGGGTCCCCTGCCCACATGTATGCTGGAGGCTCCAGGGCAGGGAAAGAGGGACAGCTGGCCCAGGGAGAGACCTGGGCAGCACACGGTGTAAAAAGGCCTGGCCCAGCCTCTGACACGGAAAGGGAATCATCAGGACCAATGGGTTGTCCCAAGAGTGGCCAGAAGGCTGCAGGGCTGCTCAGGGGACCATGCAGGCCACCAAGAGGCTGGCCATCCCTGGGGGCTGACAACCCACTACCTGATAGCTCTCAGAAGAACTAACCCTGCCCGGCCGCAAGCACCAGCCGATGCTCTGTGTACTCCAGCGGGAAAGGAACCTGTGGAACGGCCCACATGCCTATGAGGGACTCCTGCTTCTGTCCACAGAGACGACTGAGCTGTCTGGTGTCTGGCCAGGCAGCTTCCCTGCTATGTGTCAGCTGCCTTGAGATACAGTGAGGCTGGAGAATCAAGTTTTTGAGGAAATGTTTTATAGTAAATGAAAATGTCCTCAAGTGAGAAAGGGGGTATCAGTGGGAGACTGAAGGTCTTATTGCAAGCAGCAGCTCCTGTACCCTCGGGAGCTGCCTGCTCAGGAGGGCCTGGGCCTGAGCTGCCCTGGGCAGATCTGAGGGGAAGGTCAGGCAGGAGGTGGGAGCAGCACTTGCCCTGGTCTCGGGTGCTGGGTTTCCAGGTGTGCACGCTGCCTGCTCGGTGCTGGGGTGGCTCCGTCCCTCCTGGGGGCTGTGTGGCTGGTTGCAGGCCAGAGGCCATTTCACTACGGAGCTGGGCCAGGTCATGCTCAGAAAAAGAGCGGTCCCGTTTCAGTGCCACCTCCCCACAGGGAGACTCTTCTTCCTGCAGACACGTCAGATAGAGCCCTGCCCTGGCCACGATGCTCCCAGTGCCCTGCCCATCCCTGACCGAGGCACCGGACCCAGGGGTGCTACGAGGTCCACAGACACCCTAGGCTGCCCTCTGCCCACTGCTTGGCCTCCCATCTACTAGAAAGTTCATAGCAAGTGCCTTAAAAACTCAACCCTCCCCTGAGGTCTTTGGAAAGTCCCAGAGAGATGTACAGAAGAAAGCTGAGTCCACCAAGAGGACCACCATAGGAGTCATCTCCTGTCCTCTTGGGAAGGGGAGGGCTGTGGTCAGAGGGCAGCAAGAGTGACAGCTTTTCTTATCAAACAGGGACTGATTAGCCTTCTGGCCCCAGATGATGGGTCACATCTATTCTCAGCTTTTTTTTTGCTGTGGGAAGAAGTGGTCCCAGGCCACTGTCCCAGCATCCCAAAGCTACTTCTGAGCTGCCAAGATGGGATAAGGGCTCTAAGCCCCCTGCCACCACTGGCCAGTAGCCCTGGCAGTGGATGCCCCACCCAGCTGAGCACTGTGGCCCCCTCTGGTCCTCAGGAATCTCTGTGGGCTCTGACCTCAGATGTTGTCATCTCCTCCATCTCAGCCAAGGTGGGTGCCTTGAGCAGGACTCTGGGTAACGAGCGCTGCACACTGCTCCCAGCATCGGGAACAAACAGGTTGATGCAGGAAGTGGACTTGACATCGCCAGAACAGACACTGAGGATACAGGGCAGAGAGCCGAACCCTGGGAGGCAGGAGGCCAGGCAAGTGGGACGTGAGTGGGGAGGAGGTGCACAGGACCTGTGCGGCCAGCCTGGTAGACAGGGTTCCCTACTTTACAGAATGGGAGCCTGAGGGCTGGTCAGTCACTAACAAATTGGACACCCAACCCAAGGGGCAGTGCAGGCTAGCCTCTCAGAGACAGAGTACAAGGACTGCAGATGGTCTCCACTCTGACCGGGAAGATCAGGTCTCAGACATCTGAATAAATGCCTGATTTTCCCAGACCCCAAAACTTCGGTTTTATTTTATTTTCCGCCTAATTGTTGAAATTTATCATAGCAAAAAGTACAAAGTCAGGTCAAACCCCAGAGTAAAGTCAGGGCACCTTGAACTTCACAAGGCCAGACTACAAACTGGGACGTCCTCTGCCCAGGAGCTCGTGGAGCCGACACCGACTCCTGATTTGTGGCGTAATCAGGGGAAGTGGGGGACTTCATCCAGGGCCGCCTGGGGTCTCTTCTCCCATCACCCCTCCTCTTGCTCACCATGGGTGCCCAAGTGCTGGTCTCCCACAGGGTGCAGCCTCCGCTCCTGCTTTATCTCTTCCAGGATCTTGTCATGCAGGGTCCTCTGCTTCTGTGGCAAGGGAGCAGCCTTCTCTCCAAGACCTGCAAAGAGGATGAAGCACTGGGTAGGAGGGACTTAGACAGTGACAGGGGATGCTAAGGAGTGGGGAGATACTCAAGGTTCACAGGACACATGGCACTAACTCTTGGCTCTCCAGGAAGGAGTGCTACCCAAAAGATCTCTGTCTGCAACAGGCATGCAGGGAGGTGACCAGCACCATCCTTCTAGAAGGACGGAGGCCCGGGGCCCATGCCCAACCTTCCAGCCAGTAGACAGTGAGCATAGCCCACCCCATGGTTCGGCAGAGGTATGCTCAGGGCCCCCTTGCAGGTGAGACAAAAGACAGCACCAGGGCTGGAATGCCCTGCAGGAGGCACAGCATGGGCACCTGCTTCAGCGGAGGCCAGGAGCGGATAAAGTCCAGGATAAGCTCATGTGCATCCTTCTTCACTCGTGGAGGGATGTCCCCATCGACCTGCTGCAAAGAAGCCCCAGCTCAGACCGGGGCTGACCTGAGTTCGTCAGGGTTGTCTGCTGGTGACTGGGAGGGCTCACTAAGCCCCTGACACAGCCTGGCCTTCATTTCTGACCTGCCTCTGATGGCATCAGCTCCCTGGGACCAAGCTGTCTCTAGGAAAGGTACATGGCAGGTAGTCAGCTACCACCTCCAGTACTCACACCTCTAAGCCCAGCCATTTGATCTCTCTCTACCTGGGATTCTTCTAGATAGGAACTTGCTAGTACCCACCTCAAAGGGTTGTCACGGGAATGAATGAACTTGTTCATTTAAAATTCTAAGAGTAGCTGGGTGCTGTGGTACATGCCTGTAATTTCAGCAGCTAGGGAGGCTGAAGCAGGAGGATCACAAGTTCAAAGCCAGCCCTGCAACTTAGTGTGGCCATAAGCAACTTAGCGGGACTCTCAAAATAAATGAATGAATGAATAAATAAATAAATAAATAAATAAATGGTGCTGGGGATGTGGCTCAGCAGTAAAATTAATGATAATCATAAAATTCCAAGAGTGGCATCAGCCCACGCCGGGGCTGCTGGGTGCTCCTTAGGTGGAATAGCCCTGTAGCCTCAGTTCCAGGCCTCCCGGGCGATGTCCGTATTCCCCATCTTCTTTGTCAAACTGTGTCCCCAACACAACATTGAGCTGTGGGGCCCGGGGGCCACACCTGCCTTATTCATGATCTGTGTGCAGTAAGGGGCTCAGTGTTCAGCCTAAGGAGCCAGGGCCTCCAGCAGAGGCGGGCAGGAGCTCGGCGCTCACCATGACCTTGTGCAAGTGGTAGTTCCTGGCGCGGATGTCCTGCATCAGCATCTCGAAGGGGGTGAGTTGGAACTTGGTGGGCAGGGGCTTGAACTCTTGCTCCTGTACCTTTTTGAGCTTCACCCCATGGCGCAGCTTCCACATGAGCTGGACCCACAGCCGGGCCTGCCCCAGAGACAGACAGGGCCCTCAGCCTGTGCAGCCTCCCAGCACAGCCCTGGGTTGACTCTCCTGTCTTACCCAGTCTGTGTGTCTCAGGTTGTCCAGCTCTGCCAGTGGCTTTTCCACCTGAGGCTCATCCTTCCCCAGCTTCTGGAGCATCTGAGACCACACATCTGGTTAGTCCAGAGGTGGGAGGTGGCAGACATGGGACATGGGCTTCCTCATCACACAGCTACTGCTAACCAGTTGAAAGGGGACCTGTGGAGTCCTGACCCAGGCTGTGGGGCTCAGGAAGATGTCTGGGAGAACCACGCTCTCCACCTCAAAACCAGACAGGTACCTGTCCGTCAGCTCTAGGTCGCTCCTTCTGGGTAAGGGCTGGTGAGAATCTAGTATCCATGTGGCACCTCCTCCCGTCTCATCCACAGACCCCAGGGAGGTGTGGCAGGGGTGGGAGCCCGGATCTCAGTGCACACAACACCTCCTCAGGGGCACCTTGGCCAGCTATGGCCCACGCATTCTCCTGAGACATTCACAGCTGCTCCTCCAACACGATCCCCACAGGAGGCCACATGGAACCCAGCACCTCAGAACCTGCAGCTGGACCTGCCGCAACATGTCACAGGCTAGGTCCTCAAACTGTTTGAGCAGATGGTGGTGGGTGCAGGCCAGTGTGGTTGCCAGCAGGTATGGGGGGGATCATTCCCAAACCAGGAAAAATGCCAACATCATCGTGAGGGCCAGGAAACATCCTGGCATTAGGGACTGTCAGGTGACTGTTCTGGGCTGAGAATTTGGGTAAGGCTGCTGGACTAGCTGCCTTGGTTGCCCTGTATCTCAGAGGCAGCCTGACTGCTCTGACTCCCCTGTTCTGGAGAAGCATCTGCCCTTCAGCCCACAGCCACTCTTGACCAAGACAGAACTGGTTACCCTGGCTGCACCCCAAACTACTTGCCAAATGGCTCTGAGACACTCTAGGAAGTACTGCCAGCTCAGAGAAGCACAAGGCATGCCATTCTAATAGCAGTCCCCAGGTGGGACCTGGCCAGCCCAGTGGCACAGGGCAGGAGGGTGGCTCTCCTATCCTGAGCAGGCGGCTTCTCTCCAAAATGCCCGCCTAGACTAGCACAGCTGCACCCCACTGAGGGATGTGTCTCTGTGCTCCCTACCACCAGTTACCTGAACTTCAGGCCAATGGCTCGACGTCCAGAGCTGTGTGTTCCTGCTGAAACAGGAGCCTTGCTGTCTGGGTGAGAAACTGAGCAACAAGACACAGGCTAAGTTCAAGGAAGGAGGAAAGCATCAGGACCACCAACTGTCTGTAGAGTCAAGGGAGAACACCCCTAGGATATCAAGGAAGAGCTGGAGAGAAGGTGGGATGATCACAGGAACTGGGCACGGGCTGGTAACCTCCCCATCTCGGCATGTGAGAGCTGCAGGGGAGACTGGCAGCTCCAGCCTTTTCTTAGGACCCAAGGGTCAGTGAAGCTGCCAAGAACCACTCTGTATTAGAAGGAAAGAGCACCCAAAAAGGTGAAGGTGGAGTCAGGGACCATCCCAGTTAACTCCCAAAATACTTTCCAACACCTAAGCAAAGGAGTGCAGCCAATCTTTCTGACCTCTCCAGGTACCCCTCTCTCCTCTGTGGAAAGCTGATGGGCCCAGGGTCCCTGCACTTAGGACACTGCCAAACAAACCCATCAGCTCCCTTTGAACAGCACCAACTCCTCCAGGAGGGGCTGAGAGCTGAGAGAGCAGACTGCACACCATCCCTGAGGTCCAGAGGGATCAGGACAGCCCCAGAGGAGAACTGTGGCTTGGGAGCCCAGCCCTGCCCTATACTGGCTCTGCAGCTCCCGGCAAGGATCCAGCATCCCAGAGCCTATATCTGCCCACCTGCAAAATGGGCCCAACCTTAGAGGGGTACCTGGAGAGCAAGGCCAGGCACAGCACATACCCACAGGTACCCCCACAGAACTGCCCACTCACCCCACTTAAAGGATCTATGTGGTTCTGAGAGGTGGGAAGGGGCTGCCATTGGCATTGTCTTCAGAAGAAACTGAGACCTGGGGAGCAGGTGGGGGCAGCAAGCAGGACTCCCTCACAGAATCATGACAGCTGGCTTAAGGCAGCAGGAACAAGGCTCGGGCAGAGGCTAGGAGCCAGTTGCTGCCTCCCTAGGCCTTGGTTCCCTTCTCCAAAAACCTGGCCAAAATGTATGAGGCTTCAGCACACAGCCCAGAGCAGCTGGGGCACTCCAACCCGAGGGGCAAGGTACCCACTAGTAACCCCCCAGATCCCTTCGGGTCTGGCCATCCGCGGGCCCCACCTTCAGCACTGTGTTCCCAAGCTCACCTCCTTGCCCTGCCACACCCTGGCTAGGAAGGCCTGGAGCTCCAGCGTCTCCACAAAGAGTGCGCGGCACACAGCATGGTAGTGGGCCTGCGCGCCCCGAGGGTCGGTCAGCCGCGCCGCGCACAGCCGCATGGCCTGGGAGAAGGTGCGCAGGGCCCAGGAGCCACGGCCTGCAACCTCCTCTTCCTCCTCTGGACCCCCGTAGCCCCCGTCTGCTGCCCCACAGCCGCTGTCGGCCATGAGGTCGATGAGCCTCTCCAGCTGTGGGCTGAGCTCGAGCTCCTTGCTCTCGTCCAGGCCCCAGTCCAGTGCGCGGTAGATGGCAAAGCCCAGCGACTGCACCATCTGCAGGACAAAGAGGGGTTGGCGGCAGGCGGCAGGGAACAGTGCAGGGCGCCCCAGAGCTGGGCAGGTTGCCAGCCCCTTCACAGGCGGGGAGTGGCCAGGCCCAGTGAGAGGCCAGGAGGGAGGAGCCAACGGCCCACTGAGGGGATACACCAGGTACAACACGGTGAGGTGCGTGACTGAAGGGACTGCCCGCGGCACACCACTTTGCAGAACAGCTTGGCCCCTCGCAATCCAACAGACGTGGGACCAGTGCCTCGGCAGCTCTCTCCAAGTGCTGAACTGACGGGTCCCGAGGGTGGCCACTGGAACGTTCTCCAGCTGAGAGTGAGACGGCACTCGAGACACTCACAGGGAATGCTACCACACAGCAAAGAGGAACCAACACGCAGTCCCACGTGCTGATCCAAGGGACAGGATCGGCAGAGAGCCTTCAGGACACACCGTCCCTTCCAGGAGTTTCGGGGAGCTGAGCCTGATCAGATGCAGAGGGTCAGGGGCTCCCCACAGGCATCCTCACTGGGGTGCCACTGAGAGGGGTGGACCTTCCAGAGGTTCCACTGCAAGGTCTTCTGCTGGAGTGTGCCCTCGGAGGGAGAGTGCAGCCCAGCCCTTCCCTCCTCTGCCCTGTGCTCCCACCATGAAGTCCTGAGCCACACCGGCCCAAAGCCACAGGGCCAACTGTCATGGACAGAAACTCGGACACTGTGAGACAAGATGAACCTTTCCAGGTACTTGAGTCAGGTACTTCCCCAAGCCAGACATGGTGAAGTCTGACCTATAAAGTCATCACACTGGAGTGGGTGAGACGAGGGGATCACCAGGCAGGGTGGATGGGACTCAGTGCCATGGCGCTCAGTGAACCAGGCACCCCGGGCTGTTCTGCCTGCTTTGGATAAGCTTGAGGCTCTTTGAGTTCTTCACCTGTTGGTTCGGTTTGGTTTGTGGCACTGGGTCTGAACCCAGGCCTTCAGCATGCTAGGCCAGTACTCCACCAAGGCTACACCCCTGCCCAAAGGAAGTGTTTGTTGTTTGTTTGTTTGTTTTTTAAGCTCATTTTTAAAATCCGAGAGGTCTCTTGGTGGAGGCCTCTGGGCTCAGCGCCTCTCGGCAGGGAACCCTATTTCCATAGTCTGCCTTTAGGGGCCTGGGGACCAGAGGTCTGTGGAGGGGGGGCGGGTCCTGACACCGCTGCACGGGGACTGCCCTGCCCTGCACAAGGTCCTTGCTCAGCATCTGGAAGGCCATCCTCAGTGACGGCCACCATTTTAAGAGAAAAGTTTTGCTTTCCTGCCCCAGGACCTTCCTGAGAAGGGCCCACCACTCCTCACACCAACCCTCATGCCAACCCTCATCAGGTCCACCCGGCTCTGGTTCCCGAGCCTTCCCCTTGAAAGTCCCAGGACCCCAGCCCTTTTGCCCTCCCCCATGGAGATGGCCGTTATCTGTCAGCTCTAACAAGTGAACTCTCGTGTCTCCTGGCCTGGCTCCGACTTTCATCCCTGGCTTACCCTCTCTCCTCCCCTCGCTCTGGCCCACGGGCTCCCTTGGAGGGCTGGGTGTGCTCCCAGCACTGTGACAGGCCACAGCTCTGCTGAATGCAGTGGACAGCAGGGCCACCCCAGCCTCAGCCTCAAGGTGGCCCACCTTCTCCCCTGGATGCATCACTTCCCCAGGGAGTCCCTGTCTGACTCCTGCTGAAACTCTCTTCCATCAGGTAAGTGAAGAAACCCATGGTCCCAAGTCTAGCTCCCCCTTCCCTCTGGCGACTCCTCAGACCTTGCTCCAAAGACGATCTTCTCTATGACATCTCCTGGTGACCTGCACGGGATCTTCAGAGGTACTGACTTTGCAGATATGTGGCCCACTGGTGATTTGGGGTGGGTGGGGAGGACTGGCAAATCATCCCAGTTCCATGTTCAGAAGATGGCAAGAGTCCCGTAATTGAGGCCAGCATCTGCCTCCTTCAGAAGAGTGAAGGAGGAGACTTCTGATCCCCGACTAGGCATGGCCATCACCCCTTGCCAGCCTGAAGCAGCCACAGAAGACCGATGTTTACCCAGGCTCGGTGCACATGTTTGAATCCCAGCATCTAGGAGGCTGAGGCAGGAGGATCACAAGTTCAAGGCTAGCCTCAGCAATGTAGTGAGACCTTGTCTCAAAATGAAAAAACCAAAATGGGCTGGGGGTGTAGCCAGTGGTGAAGTGCTCTTAGGTCAGATCTCCAGTGCCAATAGAGAGGAAGAAAGATCATCACCTCTCACAGCCCTTAAGACAAAGGGTGCAAAGTTTCTGGGGGAATAAGATAAAAATTTAGGATAAAAAAAGATATCTACTAAGTCTCAAAGGAACCACCCAGGAGCCAGGAGAAGCAGGGACCAGAGCTGTTAAGTCTTGAGCCACGCCCTTGGAGCATGCCCTGTGGAAGGAGGAAGCTCAGAGCTCCACCCTGGGCCACCTGCAGTCCAGCCCCAGCTACAGCCCTCTATAGCATTGCCCCGGCCCAAGGCGGGACTTCTCATCTAGAGAGCCTACATTCTCTCCTGAATGGGTATCTACTTCCTGAATAAACCTCTGTTTATTTAGAAAATCATGCAAAAAATACAAATAAATAATGACACTCCTGCCAGGTGTGGTGGCCACACTGATAATCCCAAACAGGAGGCTGAAGCAGGAGGCTCACAAGTTCAAGGTGAGCCTGGGCAACTTAGTTAGACCCCTGTCTCACAATGAAATTAAAAGGGCGGGGTACAGCTCGGTGGCTCGCACTCCCTAGCCTGCACAGGTCCGGGCTCATCCCCAGCATACGACCTCCCTGTGACCTGCTGGGCATTGCTCTTAGTGCTAATGGACTTTCATGCTTTTCGTTTATGACATGGATCAAAAGGATGCATTTACGCAAAGACACTCTCCTAGTCGGAGCCTGGGCTGAGCCTGGTGTAACTCTTCTGCTTGGCTGTGGACAACCCACCAACACCATCTCTCATCTTGCAGTTTGGGGAGAGAGGCACAGAGAGGTCAGGTTGCCTGGGCACAGCTTGCAAAGAGCTGGGCCTTTGCTTGGCCAGGCCTGGGTCTGCTGTGTAGAGTCCTCAGCCTTGTCCCTCACCAGGAGGCCACTGCCCTCTCCGGGAAACTTCTGGGTCACCTGCTTCAGGGCCTCTAGCTTCCTGTGTGCCCACCTCTGGTAGCCTGGGGACCCAGGGCCTGCGCCATGCCGAGCAAGAACAGGTGGCCAAACCAGTGCTAGGCGGAGAGCCCGCAGGAGTGCAGAGCGGCAGTGGGGCCGAGGGTGGCCCCCTGGAGGCCACCTCAGCATGTCTGTGCCTTCTGCAGACGAGCATCAGGGACACAGCTCCAAGCTACACTCTTGATTCTAGAGCCACAGCCACAGCCACAAAACTCTAGCAGAGGGTCACATCTAACAGGTGCCAGCCTGAACCTGGCTCAGGCAGGTGAAGCCCAGGGTCAGGGGGGCTTCAGCAGGGCATCAGGGCCCCTCCTGCGTGCCACGCTGATGGGGGCAGGCAGGAATTACAGTCCCCTCAAATTTCCAGTGTTCCTTTTGGCCTCTGGGTAGAGGCCAAGAATGAGCGAGGAGGTCGGAAGGGCATCTCACTCCTACTCCATCTGCCTCGAGCTTCAGGCTGGCTCTGACGGTCTTTCTCATGCAGACCGCCCACCCCATGGACAGGAGGACAGACTGAGGGCACAGGAGGAGAGCCCCCTCTTCCTCCTGGCCTGAGCTAGTGCCACACTGGGGAAAATGCCAACTGCAGTCCGGTCTTATCTGATAGCTGCGTCAATGAAAGGTCTTCTGTGCCTCCAGTCATTGGAACTCTCTGGAAGTCAAGAATGCTCGGTCCCCATAAGGAAAAGTCTAGGCAGTTGGCCAGGATCAGAACCTCTAGCCCTGCCAGCATTCCAGCACTGGACAGGCTCAGCAGCCTGGGGGTGGTCAGAAGCTGCAGGGGTCTGTGGGCACCTCGTGCAGCCCGAGTAGCCCCAGTCAAGACGAGGTGCAGGCAGCTCCCCTCCCCTGAGAGTGAGGCTACTCACTCTCAAGTGCACCTGGGGCCTATGAGAACAACAGTCCTGACTGGACTATTCTCATACACCGTTGTTGTGAATATTTATAAATTTTTAGTTGTAGATGGACCCAGTACCTTTATTTTAATGTGGTGCTGAGGATCAAACCCAGTGCCTCACACTTACTAGGCAAGCACTCCACCACTGAGCTATGGTCCTAGCTCCTCTTTATAAATCTTTTTAAAACTTTGGAAAGTTTTCAAGTAATAGACTACTTGGGGACTCTGCACAGCAGGGGCCAGCTGCCACCCGGGAGCAATGCACTTGGGAAAAAGAAACTATCCAAAATATTATGCAGCCATGAAAAGGGATGACTAATCACCACAGGGCAATGCAGAGGAGTCTTGGCAACACACAATTGTTTGAGGAATCTCTATGTAGGACAAGAACAGAGCTGGTAAATAAACTTGGTGATGTGCTACTTGAATGGCAGTATTTCAAGGTGAGGGACTATGGGAGGTGAGACACACTGCTAGTTTCTGGGTTCTCAACAAGAGATGGTATATCCTCTTCTGGTCTGTGCTCACTTCCCCCTGAGTGTGCCCCGCCCCCGGCCCATTTCTCTGTAGGAAAATACAGTAATCCCCCCACTCTCCCAAGGAACCCCAGAAAGTTAATTGCCAGCTTAGCCACCAGGTCACTTGCAAGGCCCTTCAGGAGCCAGCTCTGGGCAGGACACCTGAGTGCCAAGAGTGACTGTCCCTTTCTGCACTAGAGAAGGCAGACCCCAGTGCTCCCCAGTGCCTGCTCAGAAGAGTGGTCAGCAGTGCTGGTGAGTGGGACCAGGGGCTGGGGTCCAGGCCTGCTTGGAGACAGAGGAAAAGGAGGAGCAGCTCAGGTAGGTGGTGGCTGCAGGCACGAAGCCATGGTCTGAAGTGAGAAGCTGTGACATTGGGAACTGAGGTGGCCTGCCTCCGAGTTACACTGTCGGAAGAGACTTGGGCTCAGAGGAGCTGAGAGGCTTTGCCTAGCTGGGAATGTCCACTTCGGACTGCGACTCCTGGATCTGAGGCCCACGTACAACCTCAGTGTGATGCTAAGTGGCGGCAGGTAGTGAGTGGCATTTTGCAGGTGCTCATCCATGTATGCCGAATCCAACCCAGGAAGTGGGCAGCTCAGGCACCCATTTACAGATGAAGAGACAGAGGCTCAGAGATGACCTCCTGTGCTCCAAGGTATCACAGCTAGTGG